GGGGGGGGGGGGGGGGGGCTGTAGTTTCAGCTGAAAGACATGACATTCTAACACTGGCTTTCTTTCTGTAGATTCAGATGGACAAAGAATGGCCATGAATTCAACTACACTGCAGACCCCTACCTGATGAAAGAAGACAACTCTGGGACCTTTGTGATCCCTAAAACTGAGAACCTGACAGAGTACCAGGGCACCTATCGCTGCTATGCCTCAAACAAACTGGGGACGGCCATTTCCAGGGACATTGAGTTCATTGTGCCAAGTAAGTAAGCTGCAACTGTCTGTGTGTTTGATGTTGGGGTGGTGGGTTGGGGTGGGGGGGTTTACAAAAGGTTAAAAGTGGTTTAAAGTCAGTGTGTACCTCTTCAGTGTGAATATCTTATTGATCGTATCAGAAGACCTTTCTGGGTGGAGTTTGCATGTTCTCTTGTTGTTTGTCTCGTTTGTCTCGATTGTCTCTATGTGTCCCTGTGATGGACTGGAGACCTGTCCAGTTCAATTTTATTTAAACTTGTTAGTCTCATTGAGCCTCGAGGACTCTTTTACATGAGAGGACCTGTTTTAAACAAAGAACACAGGTGATCCATCCATCCATCCATTATCTTTACCCGCTTATTCCATTTTGGGTCACGGGGTCGCCGGTGCCCATGTCCAGCAATCACTGTGCGAGGGGCGGGGTACACCCTGGACAGGTTGCAAGTCCATCACAGGAACACAGATGAGGTACAGACAACACTAGACAATTATATAAAAACATATAAAATGAAAAGTAAATAGAAAAACATGAATGTCCATGGTGTCCTCCGCCCCTCACACAGTGATGGCTGGACATGGGCACCAGTGACCCCTGCGACCCGAAAAGGAAGAAGTAGGTAAAGATAATGGTTGGATGGATAAAATCTAAATTTAGCTTTTTTGAAGGTAAATAAATGCTTCATGTCCCTGTGGTGGACTTGTGACCTGTCCAGGGTGTACCCACCCCTTCCTACAGTGATTGCTGGACATGGGCATTGGCGACCCCGTGACTCAAAATGGAAGAAGTGGGTAAACTATAATGGATGGATGGATGGAAATGTTTAATCTCAAGTGCCCATTTACAGAAAAACTCTGTCTGACATTCTAGGAGTTTATCATGGAGACATTTTTGATTGAGTATGCTAACTATGCTACATATTGTCCAAAACAATGAAAGAAGACTCCTGGTAGTGTTTTCCAGAGAAAACATATGTCCGAAAGCATTTTTTTTTCCCAGTTCAATGCCCTTTGATTGCTTTTAGTAAGACTATATGGACTCCTGGAAATAAAAAAAAGTTACATCTTGTATGACAAGCAGACACGACTGTGACCAAGTTAATTATATTAACAGTTTCTTGCATGGTATACACCTGCACATCATTACTGTTATCACAACTTCTCTGTTACAAGTTTGCCCAGCCCTGAAGCATTATCTTTACCCGCTTCTTCCTTTTCAGGTTGCGGGGGTCACTGGTTCCCATATCCACCTATCACTGTGTGAAAGTTGGGGAACACCCTGGACAGGACTCCAGTCCATCACAGGGACACATAGAGACAAATGAGACAAACAACCATTCACTCTCTCACTCACACCTAGGGACAATTTATAGTTACCAATCCGTCTAACGTACATGCTTTTATTCTGTGGGTGGAGACTGGAGTACCCGGAGAAAACCCACGCATGCACGGAGAGAACATGCAAACTCCACCCAGAATGCCCCCCGGCCAGGATCTGAACCGTGGCGAGATGCTCACTGAGAGACGGCAGCTCTACCAACTGCACCACTGTGCTGCTTGACCAGAAGCATGCAGATATCTTTATTTGACCACAGACTCTCACTATAGATTTACAATAATTAAAGCCCCACTGTATAAACATTCACATCGAGTTTACTGATCTTTCAGTTTTAATAAAAACACAAAAGTCTATAGAGATTTAGAAAATTTTATTCTGGAATATCACGTAAGTTTATTTAGGCAAATGTGTAGGAATCTATCAGAGTCAGAAACTCAGTGAGGTTGTGAGCTCACTGTAGCATCTCATCCACAGCTCTCTACGAGAAAACGTGTATTTGGATTTAGTCTGTTCATGTTTTCATCTTTTTTCTCCAACTTCAGGTCTCAAATAAAACATTTTTTTTTTTTTACAGGGGACCTGGTTTTCCTTGAATGCAATAACACAGCAGTAGTGATACACATAATAATAAAAATAAGGTCTATTATATTTCTGCAAATAAATGATGACGTTCAACTGGCTGAATGGTCCTGTACAGAACTCATAAACTGGGGGTCTTAAATATCCTGATGCATGCTCAATAATCCAGGTAGAAAAATCTAAAAAAGTTCAATCTGGTCGTCTGGACATTCAAAAAACAAAACAAAGCAAAACAAAACAAACAAAAAAAAATGTAGAAACGTTTCGTCTTTCATCCGAAAGACTTCCTCAGTCTGAGGTGCTGTATTCAGCTCAATCTCTTAAATAGCACCGTCTCAGAGTGGATCAACCAGTTTTGCTACTGACAACCAAAACCAGCTGCTCACATGCTCAAGAAGGACCATCAGCCTAACAATGGATCATTAGCACACTGATGGCTGTTTACTATTCACACAGGGCTGAGTGATACTAGCAATCACAGCATTGTAAGAGGGGGACAATTGAACCCGGAGGCCTCCACCCCTGTTTAATGATGGACAATTTCTTTTCACAAAGATGGCCTCCTTTACTCCTCTCTCAAACCATCGTTCCTCTCTGTCCAGGATGTGAACATCTTCATCCTTGAAAGAGTGACCGCTGGCCTGGAGATGAGTGTAGACCGCAGAGTCCTGGCCTGATGTTGTTGCTCTTCTGTGCTGGGCCATCCTTTTGGCCAGTGGCTGTTTAGTTTCCCCGATGTAAGACTGATCACAGCCCTCCTGACACTGAACAGCATACACAAAATTACTCTGTTTGTGCCAGGGGACTGGATCTTTGGGATGAACCAGTCTTTGCCGTAATGTATTTTGGGGTTTAAAAGCCACTGGGACGTTATGTTTAGAAAATAAACGTCTCAGTTTCTCTGATACTCCCTCAACATATGGAATGACCACTGGTCTGGGTTCCTCCTTTTCACCTGATGGCTGACTGGAGTCCTGTTTGGGTTTCTTCTCTGCTTTCAGGAAGGCCCAGTTAGGATATCCACATTGCTGTAGAGCCTGTTTTGTGTGAGATTTCTCCTTCTGCCTGGCTCCTGAGTTATGGGGGTCTTAAAGTTTAATTACTGAACATTACTGCCATCTTCAGGCAGAAATGAGCACTGCAGATTTGATTGTGTGTACTTTGCACCTTCTGTCAGAAGGTTTACTGTTGTGTGTTTCTTTTCCCTAGATAACCCAAAATTCCCTAAAGAAAAGCTTAATCCAGTTGAGGTGGATGAAGGGCAGCCTTTTATTTTGAAATGCGACCCACCCAAAGGTATTCCTCCTCTGCAGATCTACTGGATGAGCATCAGTAAGTAAAACATTATACATAAGAAGTGAAACTTGTTTAAGCATGTTATCATATTAAAACATGACTTTTCCTTATCTCAGGATTAATTCCTGTAAACATCACTGATCTGAATGTTTATTACTTACAAACTCACGCTGTGCAGAAAAAAAAAAAAACTTTTTGCTGTAAATCCAATTTTAGAGCCTCACATTGCCACGAGCGCTGAATCTGTTGAAACATATTAAAATGATTATAGATTCAGTGACTTGGTGTCAAATTTTAATATTTTACTGCAGCGTTAGCGGCGCGCTGGAACAAGCTGATACAAGACAGACATGTTGTAGAGCTGCACAAACACAAGTTGTAAGTTTTGCTCATTTTGCTAAATAAATCTAAAGTTTCAGGTGAATTTCATTTCATTTGTTTAATGATACTTAAAGGGACAGTGCACATTAACTAATATTCTAATAAATAAGCCAAAATTAGCACAATAGCTAAATTGTCTTTTGTGCTGAGCAGGTAAGAATAAAACAATTTTATAAAACAAGTGAACACAAAAAAATTCTTTACATTGCATAAAACAAAACACCCAAACATCACACTCTTTACGTTATGTAGTTAAAATAGATACATTTCATAAATGAGTATGACTGATTTTCTTTAAGCAGAATTGTAAGTTTATTTTTAAAAACAGAACAATTGTCACATTGACTAACTGTTTAATCCATAAATGTGTTTCTCTAATTGTCATCCCTTTTCGCTCAAACTGTCTCACTGCAACATAATCCATGCTAATTAGAGATCTGATATTTATTCTAGTTTTATGCTTCTAATGGGAGAGGAGCAAGCCCATTTAAACATCTAAAAATAAGATTTGGATCACTGAACGTTTGGTAATTTTCAGAATCCAAGATATTTTACTTACTGTTAAAGTAGTGACCATGAAAAAGTTGTCCATCTAAAAAAAAAAATGTATGTTTGAAGAGAGACTTGGTGGATTTAGCACCTTTGTTGTTGTACGAGACCAGATTATAATCCAATATATGAAAAAAATAAGTGACTGTTTCCTCACCCCTCCCTTCCCCGAGGCCGTGGACATGTGACAGAATCTCAACTGAGCTGAAGAAGAATGTCACCTCTTATCTGGACAATGGCTGAGAGGGGGGGCTCTGGACTATGCTACGACTTTACCTTAAAAATTCAATGTTTTCACCGGTCTATATGTAAATGTATAACGTCTGTTTATGTTGCTTTGCTGTGGTAGTTTTTTTTGATGCCTCAAATCGTGCCCTGTCTAGGACACGGCGTGAGAGATCTTTTTTTTTATACCGTCTCTCCTCATGTTTTCTTTCCTTTTCTAACCACTGTTTTTCTTTGTCCAAACAGGTCTCACTTGTAAACGAGTCTTCAAGGCTCATTGTGATTTATCTGTTTAAATAAAGGTTGAATGAAAAGTAAAATAAAATCAGTACATGCATAGTGGTTTTATGCACTGGTCCAGTATGACAAACATTATACAATTTAATTATGATTTTTATATTTGCAGTCTTAATATGTTGCCTACATATAAGATCTGAGTAACATCAAGATACTTGAAGTGATCCATTCATGTGACCACGTGATCCAGACTGCTGATGCAGTTTAACAAGTCTTCATTTAAAATCTGGAGTCAAACTGGATTAAAGGCCTAGTGTTTCTGGCAGAAAGCGAGTCGCCTGCAAATCTGTAAAAACGTTTTTAATCAATCGATCAGTTAGTGCAACACAGTATGTGCTGAGGAGAAGTATCAGCACCTACCATGTGACATTAGAGCTCTGAGTGGTGGTGCAGAAGGTGAGCCTGCGATCAGAAGGTCACCGGTTCAAGTCCCCGGACCGACAACAAAATGTGAGTGGGAAAGTTGAAACACTCACACCTGCCTCCACCCTCATTTGCCCCACTATGGACCCTTGAGCAAGGCCCTTAACCCCCACCATCTGCTCCCCCGGGCGCCCAGTGTCAGCTCTCTGCTCCACACAGAGTGCTGTGGTAGCTCAGTGGTCTGTGGTTGTGTCAGAAAGGACATCCGGTGAACAATCGCCAAGTCTTTGTGTGACTTAGTTCACTGTGGTGACCTCTAAAGAAGAGAGCAGCCGAAGAAAAACAACTAAAATGTTTATACTTTTAAGGTTGCTTAGCTATGGTGGCCATATTGGATGGGATTGACTCCAAACACAATGAGTTGTAGATCTGATGATTACTTTCTTAAAGTTTCACTCAAAGTCATCCAGTGGTTCATAAGATATTTTGCTGAAAGTCCAGATGCACAAAGATACATATCCATAAGAAAAAAACATTTTTGCTCCACTTTTGCCTTTGGCAGCAGGTGATTTTTATAGAGTTTAGATATTTTTAAACAAAATTCTGACTTTCGTCGTCACGTGCGACAGATCTGCGCCACATCGAGCAGGACGAGAGGGTGTCCATGGGCCTGGACGGAGACCTTTACTTCTCTCATGCCGTGGAGAAGGACAGCAGGAGGGACTACTGCTGCTTCGCCTCTTTCCCAAGGATCCGAACCATCGTTCAGAAGACTGCCATGTCTGTCAATGTCAAACCAAGTTAGTGCCACATCACCTGAACACAGTGGACTGATGAAACTTTGATTGTCAGAACAGCTCATTCCCAACACATCCACACTCACAGCTGAGCTTCAAACACCATTTCAGTGTCACACTGTCCTGTTTGTGCACGTGCTTTTGGTTTTTTGTTGTGCTTTTGATCTCGCCGTGACTCATCCACATTGTGCTCATGGTGAATGTGTCTCTTCTTTGTGCGTGTGTCATGGTGTGTCATCCGCCTCCATGTCAGGAAAAAGTGACAGTCCTGAACGTGGTAAGTTGGAAGAAGACTGCATTTTCTCTGCAGGCATCAGCAGCCATGTTCACATGTCAGTAACACATTCTCTCTTTACATCAGCTAATGCCATTTTGGAGAGAAGACCCTCTCTGCTGACGCCCCCTGGTGTCAAATCAGAGAAACAGCTCGTCAAAGGAGAAGACTTGAAACTGGAGTGTATTCCAGAAGGAATGTGAGTAACACAATGTTTATTATTATTATTATAATAATTATTATTATTAGTAGTATTAGTAGTAGTACTAGTAGCAGTAGTAATAGTAGTAGCAGTAGTAGTAGTAGTAGTAGTAGTAGTAATAGTAGTAAGTAATAGCAGTAGTAGTAGTAGTAGTAGTAGTAGTAGTAGTAGTAGTAGCAGTAGTAGTAGTAGTAGTTATAGCAGTAGCAGTAGTAGTAGTGGTAGTAGTAGTGGTAGTAGTAGTAATAGCAGTAGCAGTAGTAGTAGTAGTAGTAGTAGAAGCAGTAGTAGTAGTAGGTAGAAGTAGTAGTAGTAGTGGTAGTAGTAGTAATAGCAGTAGCAGTAGTAGTAGTAGTAGTAGCAGCAGCAGTAGTAGTAGTAGTAAGTAATAGCAGTAGTAGTAGTAGTAGTAGCAGTAGTAGTAGTAGTAGCAGTAGTAGTAGTAGTAGTAGTAGTAGTAGTAGTAGTAGTAGTAGTAGTAGTAGTAGTAGTAGTAGTAGTAGTAGTAGTAGCAG